CATATATAGAAAAAATTAGCCAGGCATGGTGGTGCATGCCTGTAGTCCCAGCTACTTGGGAGGCTGAGGCAGTAGGATTGCTTGAGACCAGGAGTTCGAGGTTGCTGTGAGCTAGGCTGACGCCACGGCACTCTAGCCAGGGCAACAGAGCCAGACTCTGTTTCAAAAAAAAAAAAAAATAATGGTACAGGCTTGAGAACGGCGGATAGAAAACTAGAAGACGAAATTCAGTAGAAATAAAGGTGAAATCCAGCCCTCGAGTGTAAAGTATCTGCCCAGCAGGTTGGCAAACGTGTACTCGGGAGGCTGGAGCTTTAACTGATCATATACTCAGGGCTGCAGCCACTTGTGGGACCAGGGATTTGTTCTGGCACTGGTCTTGGCCCACCCCTGGGAAGTACGCCCAGCAGCCTAGGGGACAGTGCCGAGGACAGTGGAGGCTGTGAGGGGAGGGCAGCGTCTTCCAGAGGTGCGGGAAGCCTGCCCAGGGGTGGAGGCAGACTTCCACCTGCCAGGCTGCACCAAGGGGTGACCCCAGCCCAGGACTATGTTCTGGCTCCGAGGAGGTGCCAGACAGTCACCTAGCACAAGGGGCTCCTTGACAAAGGGAAGTCAAGTTGAGACAACCTTGAGAGCCATTTAACTGCTGTTAATAGGGCTGATCTGGAAAAGCAATCAGGGACCCAGCAGGCAGGTGTGCCAGCAGGTGCTCTGACTGGGGCTGCAGATCCCTGTTGTGGACGGGGCCAAGCCTATGCCCTTAGTGAATAAACAACTCTAAGTCAGCTCGCCCTCAGGGGCCAAGCTGTTTTTAGACAAGCTATTTCTGCAGGGAAGAAAATTCTTAAGAGCAGTAAGACGTTTTAGATGTAACCATTCAACCAGTCACTTGAGCCCCGAGAGGATTAGAGGGCGAATGCAGGCGCAGACCCACCCAACCCTGAGCCTCACCTGGTCAATCAGCTGTCTCCTGGATGGGTTGGTCTCCTTGAGGACATGAGCCCAGAGCTCCGGATCCTTCCTGTGCACCAGGTAGCAGGCTTCGCTTTTGAACAGAGAATTCTCATTGCAAACCTGAAATAAGCACACCTGCGTGTGTGACACAAGCAGCCAACTGATGAAAGCTACTTGGGAGGACATATCCCAGGTAGTTCCCTCTGTCCCTGACACTTGTTTGTTGGACAACTGGTGCCCAGTGAGACACTGTGATTTGACACACGATGAACAGCATCCTACAGGGTTAACACTGCACTTCTCAGAGAGACAAACTATCTCAAAATGCCCCTTCCTAAGTTTCTAACAACTCACAGGGATGTGCCTCAGCTCCAGCCAGTGGGACCATCTGCAACGATGCACGTGCTCTCTGTCTTGTGCTGCCTGATACAGCCACTTCTGGTCACAGCAGGCTACTGAGTGCTTAAAATGCAGGGTGCACCAAGGAACTAATTTAAATTTTAGTTAATTTAAATTTAAGTACTCACATGTAGCTAGCTTAAACCATCTCTAAAGTGTTAACAGAACAGCCTAGACCTGGTATAAAACAGCACATACACTGCAACATTTCAAGGCCTAAAAACTTTAAAATATGCCTTCAGTGACTGATCTTCAGACCCTTTTCTGAATGTAGTAACAGATTTTCAAATGCCAGTTGTCCACTGGAATGTTCCAGTGTGTGAGCCACTTGCTAAGTCCTGGTGAGAATCTTATCTACTGAGTACCAGATGCCAGGCTCAAGGCTGAATGATGTGCACATGTCATGAATGCAGTGCAGGTGGCGAGACTGGCACCTTGCCCCCAAATCATACCACAGCACTCTTCTGGACGGAGGACACCTTAGTGAACAATTCCTTCGTATCTACACTCAGCCTTACTAAAAGGACACCTCACCCCAGCACAGACAAGTGCTAAGATCTCAGAGATCATTTAGCTGTGCTTTAATAAAAGGGTGGTATATAAAGCCAGAGAGTGGCTCGCTGGTATCAAATAAACTAAAGTCCCAGCTTTAGAAACACGAGTTGCCCCAGAGACTGCAAGTGGAGAGGCTATGTCTACTTAGCCTCACCACCTCCATGGTCAGTGTCCAAAAACTAGGGTGGCTGAGAAGCTGGGGCACTGTTTTCCATCTTCAACTCCACACGCTCGCGCCCTCACACACACCTTCCCCAGCAGGTACACCACATGCTCAGACAAGCCAAGGTGCTGGGGACAAGCAGACCAACTGCCTATGAAGAGCTTACAGCTGAACAAACATGCTCAACCACGAGATGCTGGATTTTTAGGTCAAATGGTTAAGTATTCATTATGGTTCATCCTAAAAATGTAATTACATACATGTAGATCCAAACCTGGCCAGATGCAGGCAGGAGACCTGGACGAGTGCTTCAAGGAGAGGCCAGCAAGAGCTGGGTCAGCCAGAAAGATGGGGGGACAGCTTGCGTAGGGGTATCAAGAAGGGGGCAGGAGGCACCCAGGGACCTGCAGACCACTCCAGGCGGGGTGGCAGGAGGGGTGGCTGGGCAGGTGGGGGTGGGGGTGGCAGTCCACAGAGAAGCTCACGGGTCAGGCTAACAAGTTTCATTTTGCTCACAAGTTACCAGGTAACACTGAGGATATGAGCAGAGGAATGATGGGTCGGATCCGGGCCAACTAGGCCCACAGACATGACATACAAACTGTGGAACAGGTCCCCAAAAGGGGTCAGAATTATAAAGGAAATTGAGTCTGTGGAAATGCCCTCATGACCCACTGTCCCCAGGG